GGAATTACAACACTACCTATACTTAGGGATACTTCATATGGTCGAGAATGTGGAGAAGCAGCGAAAAATGAAAGGTGGTTCAAGTAAATTTTCTTTTAATCACTCATCTTGAAAGGGTAGTAACTCTTATAAAAAGGATGATGTGAAAAGGAATGAAGATTGAAAGAAATATGAACCTAAGAAGTTCTTCAGATTTTCCTAACTCAACGACTATGATTATGCTTGATGATCGATCTTGTTTGAGCCAAAGTGAAGGGTAGGTAGATGAGACAGCCGCACATTGCAAAGATGAAGATGAGGAATATGAATCAAGTGGTGATGAAGTTCTTGTCACTATGAAAGCTTTGAATGTGCATGTTAAAGAAGAGGAAGAGCACATGCATAATATACTCCATACAAGATGCAAAGCCCAAGAGAAGGTATGTATGTTCATAACTGATGGTAGGAGTTGTACCAATTGCGTGAGCTCTTATTATGTTGAAAAGCTTAATTTTACAAGAATAAATATCCTAGTCCATATCGTCTGCAATGGCTTAATGATAGTGGTGAAATAAGGGTGTGCGGGCATGCTATGATTAAGTTCTCCATTGGTAAATATGAAGATGAGATTCTTTGTGATGTTGTGCCAATGATGCTGGTCATCTTCTACTTAGGGGACCATGGGAGTTTGATCTCAATGCTGATCATGAAGGGAAGTCCAATAAATATGGGCTTGTTCATTGTAATAAATTATAAACTCTTTTACCTTTAACACTTCAGCAAATAAATTAAAAAAAGGGATAAATGAGCAGAAAAAGCGGAATGAGAGTGAAAAAAAATGAAAAAGAAAAGAAAAATAAATTCTAAAAGGTGAAAACAAGAGAGAAAAACCAAAAACAAGTGAGAAGGCGCTTATCAACTAAATTGCTTCCATTTAGTTGTGGTGCCTATGCCAATTTTTTCTTTTCTTTGAGATTCAAAGTTAGTAGGTTTAATACATCTATTGTTGTTGGGTTCATTAGAATAGGGGGTTGGGTAAAAGTAATCTTTTGATTAGGTTTAGTAACCTACTGTTGTTGGGTTCAAATAAATCCATGTTAGATTAATTAGGAGTTTTCCAAAAATCTTTCTAACATGTGATTCAAAGGTGGTGGGTTTAATACACCCACTGTTGTTGTGTTTACGAAGGTAAAGGTTTGGAAGAATTAGATCATTCAAGAATGATTCTTTCATTTCATGTGAATCCTTGAGGAATTTATCATTTGCTTAAGAGTTAAGAAAGTCTAAAACCATTCTATTCCTAAAACGTTGGAAGGGTTAGGATTCTTTTATATTTATTTATGGTATTTCTTTGAATAAGGAATCTACTAGTTGTGTGACTATAATCTCTACAAAGAAGATATTATTTGAGTAATACTCAAAGAAGATTAATTCATCACCATGATATTGGAAGCATGGAGGGAGTTTCTTCTTGAGAATATTCCTTTGTATTTTGGAGTTTTACTTTTATTTCTAAAATAGACTTAATGTATTAGATATATGGAAGAGTCTAAATTTATTTTCTTCTCTATAAACAACATTAGGATTCATAGAGTCCAACTTGATTCTAAATCCATCCATAGAATTATGGAAGGATCCTATTTAAATTCTAGGTAGCGTTGAATTTTCACCGCTTCCTCTATAAAAAGAGACGAAGACCCTTTGTAATTCTCATGAGTGAGATTATCAAATTTTATGAGATTTTTAACTTTGGTTCTTGTTCTTGGGAGAGCATTATTCTTTGGTTGTTGTTAGAGTTTTGTGACAATCATTGAGACTTATCTTTCTTGTTTAGTTCGCTAGAAAGTGGCATCTATAACAACGTAGTCTTTTTATTTTGATCATTGAGGGTTATAAATCAGCATCTATTAGCTCTTGTTAATTTTTGAATAGGGCTTTGTTGGGTTCGATAGTTCACTTCATCATACTGAGTATGGTTGTTTGTTTCTGAGAATTCGTGAATTGATTCAGGTGAGGTCAATTATCTTCTCTGTTCTTTGTTTCTCAAATAAGTGTTTCAAGTTTAACAAACTTTTGCTGCATAATCATTGGTCTTTTCAAATATTCAAAGTTGAGCTTGCAAAAGTATTAGTTTTGTCTTTCAGATTGCTATCAAGTTTCTACCTCAAAACCAATTAGCAACTAGTGAGGTAACAAAGGAAGCTATAAATAAGTCTCAGATCTTTCATGCGAGCAATGTAGATTCTTTGTCCCAACACTCTCACTCAAGTCTAATGGGCTCCTTAGCCTAATGGAATGCACAACACAATATAATTTACCAGTTATACTGCAGGGTTAGTAAAAAACAAAGGACACTGTTGGGTCATCCTGTGTACACAAGTCCACATGACAAATGACAGAAAACAAATCACAAGGCTCTGATACTATGTCAAAGTAACTTGGGCTCCTATTTCAAAACTAATTGGCAATGGATGGAATAACACAATAAACTTATAAACAGGTCTCAGATCTCTCACTTGGACAATGTGGGACTCTTTGTCCAGCAAATATCTATGAGAATTGGAACCCAATTTGAAGTAAATTTTGTTTCTCCCAGACCCAGTTCTTGCCTCTGACCGTAGTACGTTGACAAAGATTTTATATAAAATATAGAAGAATAAGATATAGAGAAAACAAATAATTTTTTTTCTTTTTGTTTAACGCATTTAAGAAATTATTTTAGGTGACATTTTAGTCTGTTTGGAATTTTATATATATATATATATATATACATATGAACTCTACATATTGTGTTCGGTTGCCATTGAGCAAGGGGTAATCGGTAAGTTGACCACTAGTCAAAAGAGAAAATGTTAGTATTACTAAAATTCAATGTTGGTTTTGTTAAAGGGCCAAAACCCAGACGGTAAATAGTTCTTCCAAAAAAAAAAATTAAATACCAAAGTTTATATGATATGTTATCTAAACTTATAAACAGGTCTCATATCATTTCTCCCAAAATGATATGTTATCTAAACCTATCTTAAAACTAATTGGCAATGGATGGAATAACATAATAAACTTATAAACAGGTCTCAGATCTCTCATTTGGACAATATGGGACTCTTTGTCCAACAAATATCTATGAGAATTGGAACCCAATTTGAAGTCAACTTTTTTTCTCCCAAACCCAGTTCTTGCCTCTGACCGTAGTATGTTGACAAAGATTTTATATAAAATATAGAAGAATAAGATTTAGAGAAAACAAATAAGTTTTTTTTTTCTTTTTGTTTAACACATTTAAGAAATTATTTTAGGGGGCATTGTAGTCTGTTTGGATAAATTTTTTTTATATGAAATCTACATATTGTGTTCGGTTGCCATTGAGCAAAGGGTAATCGGCAAGTTGACCATGGGTCAAAGGAGAAAATGTTAATATCACTAAAATTCAATGTTGGTTTTGTTAAAGGGCCCAAACTCAAAAATTAAATACCAAAGTTTATATGATATGTTGTCTTTGGTTTTTTCTCCTACCTATTGTGTTACTTGTAAGCACATTATAGTTACGCTTCTTGTTTCCATACACCACTAATTCTAAAGATTTGCTTGCTAAGGTCTCTGTATTTCAACTGCATATTCTACAAGTTTTATTGTTCCAATATTATTCTTTTAATTTTCTTATATGTTAGCTCTTCTACCTTATTTTTACACTCTTATGGAAATATTATGATCCTTGCCAAGAAGTGGAAAATTTGACCTGTGATGCATTCATTATTGGCATATGGGTCTCTTGTCCACTTGTCATTATACTCAAGTTCTCATAAAAATGTAGCGATCACTGCTAAGTAGAATCTTCACATTTTTTGAGTTTGGTATGGTAAGAAAAGATTTCCTTTTCACATATACATAGAGGTTTACGTTCCAATGGTTTCCTTCCTTTAAAATCTTCTTATTAATAGATTGATTGTGGTAATTAGAATTTGTTTTCATTTCATGCAACCTTGATCTCCATATTATGACTTTTGTTGACGGTTGTAATGACATTCATCGTGATAGATCAATCTCCTGTAATTTCATATGGCATACCTCTAGCACAATAATTTGATAATTTTTTACTATCTACTCATCCTATGTCCTTTTATTATTATAGCACGATAGTAAATACATTCTTACCGAACCACTTATCAAAACACTAAAATCAAAATGCGGTTTAGTGTGGAATAGTTTTTGTTCATATGGAACCATGTAGTTGAATTTAACAAGTGTGATTACTTTAATTTTGAATAAACAATTTTTTGCTTATAACTATGTATTATTACAAATGTTAAGTAACGGTTTATTGTAAGCTTAAGTTTGGCCGTATAGTTTGTACTTGAAATTAAAGAAATGTAACATAAACCCACATTAACAAAACAATGTCCATCTTCAAATATGGTGCACCGGTCGGTCGGCCGGCAGTAGTCAAATGGCAACAAGTTATAGTCCGGCGGCAGTAGTTGGACCAACGATTGCGTTGAAGATTAAGCAATGGATTGGGATTTAAAATATAAGAAAGAAATTATATGGACAAACACTTTTTGGGTTTAACATTTAAACATTTTTTTCCCCTGTTCTTGCCTCTATAAGGCTAGCCAATTCATAACCCGTAGCGTTTCCTTTAAGGCTTTAACCAAAAATATGAAGCAAATGACAAGGGAAATTCGTTATCACTGCCATTCTAAAAGAATAACAAATTCTCACAACTATTGAAAAGCCGCAATTTTCAGATTTTCGTTTCTTTTTTTCTTTTTTTTTTTCCCTGAGTTTGGAGCACCAAATCAACATAATTTTATGCTTGATTTCTTATTCTTTTTACAATATTTCGTAAAGTCACTCCACTATTTTGTTAAGTCAAGGACAGACAAGTTTGTAAGAATTTCAATGAAACAACTTGTAGCTTTTCTTAATTCCCAAAGAGGCCAGGAATTAACTCAATGGGAAAAAAAAAACATAAGTTTGATTTTAGCAGAGATCGAGTAGAAGAAAAGTTAACTTTCAGAGGATGTTGCAATAGTAGTGAAGAAACGAATTTCTCAAATAACAATTCTCATTATTGTCACTGAACTGTCTTTGCTCAAAAAAAAACAGCTCCAATATGAAATCTTTCATTTAACATCCCAAGAGAATGACATTTTGCAGTTCCAACCGAGCAACAAAAAAAATAGCAAAATCAAAATTTTCCCTCGTGTCTGATTTTGTGTGTGCAAACAAGTTCTCAACTCTCACGCATGATGCTGTGTAACAATCTTGTCGTATTAAAAAAAAATTCTCTACACTAAAATGACAATACCCCAGGAAATGTCATGCTCTGAGGTCAGATCAAACAGTCAACGTAGCCATGAGATCAGAAGGAACCATCATCGTGCTTCAGCCTAATGTCATGCCTGCCGAAGCATCTGGAATTAATTTCTTGCTGCTGATCACGTTGTGAACTCAATATCTTGAATATGAGTTATTCAGACTTTACATTATGAAGCCTGCCGAAGCATCTGCTGGAGTTGAATGACTTCTTGTTGCTGATCTGGAGGCAACGAACTCAACTGCTCAGACGTAAGATTGAGCACTTGCTCGAGTAGAGCAGACTCCACATCAGGCGGAAGCTGTAAATATTACAACCCATTAGCATCTTATTAATATTGCTAACAGACACTAACAAACTGGATGTCCATAATCAGAAGAATGATATGTAAGACACAAAGTTTTAAGAGAAAAGAGATCCTAGAAAGAAATCTGATCTTGCCTATCAAATATAGAATGAGCTATATATACCATTGAAATATAAATAAGTGTTAGGGTTATCCCTAACATTAATCTAACCCATAAAAGTTGAAATTTCACAAGAATATATTTTCCATTTGTTGAAGGTTGATTCTGTCTGCTAGAAACTGGAAGAATGAATACATTGGTAACTTATTGGTACTAAAGCTAGTTTCATATCATACACAAGTACTACGAAGTTGCTTAGTTAGGGTAGCAAGTTAAGCAACAAGCATTTAGAAAGACAAACAAATAGCTTACGCTACTTCCTTCCGAGGAACCACTTTTGAATGAAAACTTCTGTATCTAACTGATGATCACTATGTATAGCTCAAAATAGCAATGTCACAATAAGAATGGAAAATTCGAGTTAATGATATTAAATCTGTTGCAGTTGATAACTCTGATACATGTCTTTGTTGTTCCAGATAGGAACAGTTGTTTGGAGGCAACTAGAGTTTATGGGAAGAAGATTCATACCAAACATGCCAAATGCCCCAAACATAGCATTGCTTACATTTAATGTGTTAAAAACACTAAATTTCTTATTCTAATTTGTTTCCAATCTTGTTTCCCCCTTTTGCTATTTTCAGGACAGTGATCAGTGGAAAATATTGATACGCCAATCATTTTCATACTAGACATCGTTGTGCCAGGAAAAATTAAAATAAGATTCTAATAAGTTTTTTCTTTCATATGAATGAGTTGCCCTGATGAAAGAGAATCGGTAGCTTGTTCAAAAGATTCCTGCCTTAACTTATCATAGCAACTCTAAAAATGAGAATTAACGTTAAGTAGGGCATACCAAAGAGTCTGAAAGAATCAAATTAAAAGGGGAAGGGAAAGAATTGGAACGAAAATATTCAAAAAAATGTTTGCTATTTAAAATATAAGTGAAAAACTATATGTGCTTTGACAGGGCACTTTGGCAAAAGAACATTTTCTACTTAAATTTGAACGAAATATTCAGTGATTTGACAGATAACTGTTGTGAATCTCACTTGAAACCAGCTATGCAGAGATATGATTGCATAAAGCCATTTGACTTCCACCATAACATACCACATGAACTTATGTAATAAGAAGTCATATGCAGTTCACCAATTGCCAAAGCAATCTCCCTTTCGGTAGCGACTTCTTGTTGCTATTGACCATACATTTATAAAAAAGTTATAAAAAAAAAAACACGCACACATATTTAACTGAGTAAATATTTAACAACTAACCAACCAGATCCAGGTCCATTAAGTCTTCTGATGACAAGATAAAACAACACAGAAAATATGCACTACATAAAAACATATAGGTCTTCGCCAATTTCAAAAAGGAAACATCCAATACACGCATAGTCGAAACGCGACCATTATTGCTGCCGCTCAAGCCACATTATTTAGTAATTAGGAAGTTCCATTAGTGCGAGAAATACCAAGCAAGTGATACCATACAAAACTACAAAATTGAAGTAAATATGGTTAGATCTGAACATTCATTTGAGACAAATAAACAATACCTGAAGGGTTGGGTGGGGTGGTTAGGGGATTAATGGTTATTACCAGGAGGTCGAAGGTTCGATTCTCGCTGGGCCAACCAATTTTTTTTTTACCAAAAAAAATAAATAATAATAATAATAATAATAATAATAATAATAATATAATAATAATAATAATAATAATAATAATAATAATAATAATAAAAACCAATACCTGGAGTGCTTGTTTGTCAGATACTGCAGCTTGTTGATTTCCAGACGTACCGCCTGCATTTTCTGGTGAGGAGGAAGCAACAGGCCTACCATCATTCAATCTCATTAGTTTTGAAGGGTGGTTCCTTGGATCAAGGTTATCATTGACTCTTGAGTTAATAACTTGTTTGCGGGGATCTTTACTGATACTATCTGGGACACCGGATAAAAATGAACCACCAAGCTGCCAGAAAATCAAATCAATGCAATAATCAATTGCGTGTTAGATTGATAACCATAACATTCGAAACATGAAAGGGAAAAAATGTAAAGTTTAGAAATAATTCATATCATGTCATACTAAACTAGGTCAAACAATTCTCTCAACAGATTTAAGAGAAGATGCTCTCATACACTAGCTTCAAGACTATTGATCAAAAATTACAATTTAAGTCAAACTTCGGTGAACCAAACAAGTCAATCTAACCTTACCTCCCAAATCATCATTCACTATAGTTTATAATAACCCATTCCACTCACAGAAAAGATAAACAAAATTTTAATATGTTTTAGTTAATCCAAAAACCGCAGCAAGATGGATGACTGAGACTAGAGACGTAGCAATGTTCTACCAAAATGCTTTAGATAAAGGAGCTAAAGTTAGAGCAACCGCCAGTTACTATTATTGTTACTTTACCCCATTGCATAGCGGTACAAATGGGAACGGTGCTTCTATTGTTACCTGAGACTTGGGGTGAAATGTGGGCCCAGCCATTGCTTTAATGCAGGCTGGCCCTTACCTTCTTAAAAAAAAAAAAAAAAATTTTATTTGGAAAGAATGGAGCAAAAACGGCTGGCATGTTACTGTGGGCCAACAAAGGTTGGGTAACAACATCAGAGTATAACTCAAAGTAACTGAAAGTGGGGTAGTTTATATCTGATGTGGACAAAAGGGACCACATTATCAACCACACTTGGTAACACCAGTGTGGTTGCTCTTAGTCTCAAACAAAGAAAGACAAGCAAGGATATGATCAGGCTGCAAAGGATAAAAAATTGATAGATGGGCTAGCGCTAAAGCATGTGCCCATCCTAAACTACTATAATAATTCTACTAAAGTACTGCTGGTATGTAACTTTGATGAAGCCCTCGCATCCTAAAGTACAACAATAATTCTACTTGAACTCAAGCTGAACAAACCAAATTTCTAAGAACAAATCATCTGTATGATACAGTCAACGGTAAATCAAAGTAAAATATGACACCTGAAATCCTTGATCCAGGACTGCCGGACGAGTGACTGGCCCTAATTGTTGTAACTGATGCCCTTGCTGCATCAATAACGAGGTCGCCACCGGCGGTCTAAAGGGAAAATTACCCTGCGGTTGAGGGCGAATCGTTGGCAAATTGAAATTGCCAGAATGCATTAATGATTGGCCTTGATGCAAAAGATTTGGCAACTGAATAAGTGGTTGCCCTAGAAATTGAGCGTTTACAGCCTGCTGGTTATTTAACATAGAAATTGGACGATCAGCAGAAAGTGGATTGTCTGGTGTATTATATTGCACAATATCGTGAGGAATAGGGGGAACCCCGGCAAGGTTTTGAGTCGCTGAAAGTTGACTGACCATACCCTCTGGCCGTAATGGCTGCAAAGATCCAGAAGCCTGCCTAATATTAGGCATCTGGAGCTGTATAATTCAGAAGAAGATCAACCAAGTTAAAATTTCAAAACAGTAGCTTAAAAGGAAAAGGAAGATCTTCAAAGAGATGGTAAGCACAATTTTAAACAACAAAGAAAACGTGTTCTCAAAGAACAATAGAAACACGTTGAACACAGTTTAATTGTTTTTTTTTAAATGGTCACAGTTTAATTGTTCAAGCTCAAAACCTTCCAACTTCAGAGAATAATACTCCTCTGTCCCAAAATGATTGCCCTCATTTTACTTTTAGTACAATTTGTACTGAACAAAAATGAAAATTTCGAACCGGACAATCATTTCTGAACGGAGGGAGTATCAGATAACAAGAGTTCATTCATGAAGATAAATACACATACCATATGGGGTGGTACCAGTCCCAGCAATATCAATGCCTGCAAGAATATCAGATTGCAAAAAGAAAATTTATAAACAGTAGTTAAGAAAAATAAAAGAAAATAAAAACAAAAGAAAGAAAGAAGGCCATGGAGGTTGGAGTCAATGACAACACGTTCAGATCTATAAAATTAAGTTTTGAGTAAAAGACATAGTTTACATAGTCTCAAGCAATCAAAAAATTGCAGATATCATTCAAGATAAAAATTCTGTCAACTTGTATGAATCTTAAATTGATGCAAATGACAATTAAGAAATAAAAATTCTTGCCTGAACTGGCATAAATCAATAACATAAACAATCACGTCATGACAATTTTATTGCAACTCTAAAAATGGTGCAAATCCTCTTTTCTGCTCATAAGGAAACAGATGATTAATAGAACTTGCATCCTCCTAGCATAATTCCCACACTTAATGATTGTTAACTCTAATTCATAAATTCCATAGCACCACCAAGACTATTATAGTCATCTTGATTTGTTCAGGTAGAACATGCTCACCTCCAGCTCACGTAGTTAAACATAATTGCTATCCACAAAAGTAATCATCCCAACATAATCTCAGTCCCAACAGAGGCATTTAAGAACTTAAAAGTACTTGTCCTGGTGGGAGGAAACATAAATTTTCTTTTATTGCTGAATATGCAAGATAACACCATTCCAAATAATCAAAGCTTTTCATTTCCCTTGCAGAAAACAACTTCCTTATCTATTTCTGTAGTTAGAAAACTATTTTGATCACCACAGCATTTAAAATCGTAAGATTGGGTTATAAATCAACAGAACAAGGAAAACCAATGAAAACACATCCATAATGTACACATGGTAGTTATGCTCATCTGAGCTATTTTTTCAAATACGGGAAACAGGATCAACAGGCACATAACAATAAATAGCATAAGCATTCAAGATTTGAGGGAAGAACACCTGTAGTATAGCTTTAGACAAGGGTGGGCATGCTAGAAATAGCAGACGAGCTTGCTCCTTGTTTTGTGTGGCCATTGCCTGACGCGGATTAACAAAAATCATTAAAAAATTAATAAAATCCAAGGACAGCAAACAAGCTCTCAGGAAACAAAGATATCCCAATATTCTACCTCACAGCAATAACCTACCTATGTAGACACCGGAAGATCCTCAAGGAAAAATAAAAACATAAAGTACCAAATTTGTACAAACGGAGCTCTTTCACATTCACCATAATCTCTTATTGTCACACTTGCTTTCACTTGTCTACAATTTTTAATAAGAGGAAACACCAAAGGGAAACCACATATATTCAAGCCTCTTAATTTCTTGTCCATCTAAATTGGACTGTCAGGATCTCATAAACCCACTACCTATCATTTTACTAATCTAATTGCAAGGAGTCAAACTATCAGCTTTCTTCAAGACCATAGTCAATGTAAGCATAACATTTCACATTCAACTGATTAGAAATCGTGATTCTTCGTACAAATGATTCATCTAAAAACTCACCTTCATCTCAGATACAATCTCAATTAGCTGGTTCTTTGACATTTTAGCCAAATGCAGAGTTAGAGGATCACCAGCTGGTGTTGGCTGACTATGGATATTTATCTGGGGAGCTCCAAGAGCTTGAGCTAATACAGTTCCAGCAGACATAGCTACTGATACACCGATTGCCTGGTTAAGGCTAGAATCACCCACTACTGCTGGGACACACATTCAAAAGCAATCAAATATTTTCAGAAAAATTGGTAATATCTCTTACAGAAGTGTCATTTAGAGGATGTGTGACTTCAGGTGAATATTTGCTTTTTCCAGAGACAAATGTGGCAATAGTCCAAATGTAGAAGGAAAAGCTCAAACTTACCAGCATTTGCAACCATACCAGGTCCTCCACGACCCTGCAAGAGAAATGGATCAATAAACATATTGCTGATACATACTGAAAGTTGACATGTTTTAAGAAGAGTGGACACACAAAGTGGGATGAAAGCTCGGTAGTTATTATTGTTGTCATGCTCTGAGTTATAATGCACTAACAAATTTTTAAGACGAAACACAAAAGGGCCTTGATTGCTTGGATATAAAAACGATGTAAGACCACAACTAATTTAACCTGTTGGATTCGATCACCAAATAAAAGGCAAAAATAGACACACACAAAAAAAAAAGAAAAAAAAAAGACAAAGTTACATGATCGTTGAGAACAGATTCAAGCAGTTTATTAATTTATTACTCCTAAATCTAACAGCAACTAGTTTAAATATCTTTCTCGTACAGCTTGGCAGAATGGTCAAATGACCCTAAATGCCATAGGGTCATTCTAGTTGAATTGTACTAATGGTTTCTGTACACTTAGTTCTGAGGTGTATTAGCAACCCACAATAACTACACAACAGTTTTAACAGCATAGTAAGGAAGCTCATTCAGTAGCAATCCTGATAAGAAAGAAATTAAAAAAGATGTCACTGCATGGAAAATGGAGCAAAGTACTACAACAATGTTTTTCAAATTGAAGTTTATACTTGATCACGATTCCTATCGGCATTCTTGTCATTTTCAGCAAAATCAACTCGTAATTGTCTTCCATTAATCTCATACCCCTGGAGATTCCTACGAGCACTTAAAGCAGTCTCCTCATCCTTGTACTCGCAAAATCCATAACCTTTTGGTTTTCCAGTTTCTCTATCAATGACTAACCTGAATTATGGAAAAGAAATGATGCATTCAGAAAAGTGATTATATGACATAAGCGAATAAAAGACCATTGAACATATATTAGATCCATATACAACAACAACAAGCCTTTTTTCCACTACGTGAGGTCAGCTATATGGATCATATGTCGCCATGGTGCTCGATCATTACATAAATCATCGTATAAATTTAGATATTTCAAATCATTTTTTATACTAGATCCATTTTAAGTAATCAAGCCACTTTATAAAAACAACGTGTCCTGGGCAAATCTCGTTAAAGTCAACAAAGTCAGCAATCATTGCAACTCCTAAACATGTATGCAGCTAGACTCATCTTTGTGTGTATCACATTTAAAAAAAAAAAAACAAAAACAAAAACAAAAGTAAAACTGAAACTAGAAGAAAAGTATCAAGAAGTTACAATGCATATTGGTGAGCACACACTTATAACCCTCCAATTCTATCCCAAGATAAAACAGAATCATCATAGTCTAGTTCAGCCAAAGCTTCCATCTACTATCAGGCAATCCAAACCAAAACTCCCTGAAAATGCCCATGATGTGCTACTTAAGTCAGCTTAATATTATTAACAATGTAGTACAGCTTCAACTTGCTCATTACTGCAGTTATTCTTTCTACCAAACAATGTTGGTGTGCCTATTCCTATTCCTCAAAATTATACACATGATAATACTTGATTTTGGTGCACATCACTTGCTCCGTGAATTTATGTGGAAACCTACTGCTCAACACAATAAGAGGAACCCTAAAGCCATTATGTCCAACTAGATTCTAGGGAAAAGAGAAAGGACCTAGCAAAATTCCCCTTGAAGTTATTGACTATATATGTGACACTTTAATGTGCTTAAGCCTAAAACTTTCTCAACCATAACCAAAAAGAGCAACCGAACTGATAAAATTTGGTTCAAGTTCCAGAGAAACTAGCCCCGACTCCTTGACTTCCCCTCAGCACCAAACTTATTTCCCACAAATTTCAAAGTCCGAGCACTTTCAGAAAACTAAAGCTAAAAGAGATATAGGTTTTCAACTCATAAACATTGCAATACTCAGCGAAAAAGAAGAAGATAATGTTTCTTCCACCTCTAAACAAGTACCAATAGGACATGCATGGATTAACCAACTGAACGAATTTTTTGCTTGGAACAATCATATATATGTCTTACAGAAATCAACTAGTAATTTAATAAAAAAAAGAAGAAAAAAAAGGCCCAGACAGCCAATGAAGAGATTTCAATAGCAAGAGATTCAAACTAAAGAGATGAACAAAACCAACAACCGACCTGAAGGAAACGACTGGACCAACTTCCTCACATATCTCTTTAAGCTGTTCTTCAGTAGCGTCATACGGTATATTCCCAACTACGAAAAGAAAACACCAAAAGCACTAAATTAAATACAAATAAAAAGAAGACGATAACATCGCAATTGGAATAGCACAAATACAGTAGAAGACGAACCAAAAACGCAGCGATGTTGAGCCTGAGAATTGGCCATGAATATTCAACAAATTATTGATACAAGGGCATCTCTCCTAACCTCCGGCTAAGTCCTCCTCTGAGGAGGAAACAGTTCAACTCAATTTGAGATTGCAACAAATAATATAAATGAATTTGCGCCGGAAGAATCTGGAATTGCAGGATATGAGGAAGGAGAAGGAGACGATGCCCCAAATTGCAATCAATTCTGAAACTACCATTCAACCCCTCGAGTAAGTAATCTCTATAATTTAAAGGTGAGGGGCTGTCTAGGGAAATCACCTATTTTTATGTAATAGGCCCAGCTTGGTGAGAAGTCCGATCATGATCTGGATTTATATAGGGGATGGATTTTTAAAGCCCCCATAATCAGTACTCAAAGCCACCCTGTAAAAAATTGAACGATTTTGCCCCTGTTATTTAATACCGTAGAGAAAGAACGAAAATGAGTAATTCAGAGGTAAAACAAAAAAACTTAAAAAGGAACCGAACCGGTCAAGAAAACCGTCCCGGTTGAACCGGAGACGCGCAACAAACGCGTCCGGCCATTGAACTGGACGCGTACATTGCGCGTCCCCGTTTCAACCGGGATGCGTGTGTTGCGCGGCCGGTCCGGGTGAAATCAGACCGGACGCGCAACACACACGTCTCGGTTGAACCGGGGACGCGCAATATACGCGTCAGGTTCAATGGCCGGATGCGCAACACACGCGTCCCGATTGAACTGGGGACGCGCAATGTATGCGTCCGGTTCAATGGCCGGACGCGTTTGTTGCACGTCCCCGGTTCAACCGGGACGCGTGTATTGCGCGTCCCCGGTTCAACCGGGTTTTTTTTAATTTTTTTTAATTTTAATTTCATGCATGTTATGTTAATTTATTTGTTAATTTAATTAGTTATGTTAAGTAATTTAATTAGTTTAATTATATTTATTTATTGCATGTTATGTTAATTAAATGAAGTAGGAATATTTTTATTTTATTTGTTAATTTAATTAGTTATGTTAAGTAAATTAATTAGTTGAATTATATTTATTTATTGCATGTTTTGTTAATTTAATTAAGTAAGAATATTATTATTGTATATGTTAATTTAATTAGTTATGTTAAGTAATGTAATTAGTTGAATTTTATTTATTTATTTAGATTTAATTAATTAGAGATAATATTTATTTAGGGGGGAATAATTAAATAATTAAAGAATTTTGTGAAATAAGTATTTAATTTAGTAAATAATTAATCTATTTAATTAATCGCTAAATTAATGAATTCTAGCTTTTTAGGTAGGTATTGGGAAATTTAATTTAGTAAATAATTAATATATTTACTGTAAATATATGTTTTTTTATTATTTATTATAATTGTATAACTTTTTTAAATGATTGGAATATGTGTTTAATTTAATTTATTATGATGCAGTTTTTTATTGTTGTACTTTTATGTTTAATTTGCAGGATTCTTTAGAAGATTTTGGTGGCGATGGTGAAGATTATAGTATATTGTTTGCTACAGATGAGGAATTTGCAAAAAAGGATGATGCTGTTGCTTGGGTGAAAGGCATGGGCATGGCAAATGCTATGCTAATAAATGTAGTTTCTAGCAAGAAGAAGAATGTTGTTCTGATGAGATGCTGTAAAGAGGGAAATGTGTCAGTTGATGATGGTGAATACTATATCACATCAGATTCGAAGACACAAATCACTGGGTGTAAATTTAAGTTATATGTGCACTTAGTGGATGGGAAGTGGCGCATTCGGGTGTATCCTGGTGAGTTTGGAATGCATAACCACGACCTGTTTGACGAAGATCATCCCACGAGGGGCCTTAGCGATGGAGTGAAACAGCTTATACAAGGTATGTCCAAAGATGGGTGCAGACCGTGTCAGATCATGGCTGCGATTGAGAGGATCTTTCCTGATGAAAAAGTTAACAGACGGCAAGTGTACAATTTCAGGAAGAAATTGCGTAATGAGGGGTTCCCGGTATTGGGTGAATCGAGTGCCATGGATGTCACGACGAAGACACTATCGGTGGCCAAGCATCATGGTTACATCATCATGACATATTGCAATCAGGAGACAGGTGTGCTGACTCGTGTATTTTTTGCACATCCTGATGCTGTCAATTTATTTCGCAGTTATTTCTGGGTCGTCAGGATAGACTCAACGTACAAGACGAACAAGTACAAAATGCCATTGGTTGAGTTTATTGGGATGACACCGTGCAACCAGAACTTCCTGATTGCATACGCCCTCTTGAGTGACGAGACTGCTGACAGTTATTATTGGGCTTTGAGACAGTTTAGGGATTTGCTACCTGGTCATCTGTCTCCGGCTGTTATTGTTACTGATCAGGAACCGGGATTGATGGCGCTGCTGGGTATGGTATTTCCAGATTCATGCCACTTGTTGTGTGTTTGGCACGTTTATGAGAATGTAAAGCGACATCTCAACAAGGAATTGAAAATTGATGCCAAGATTGCAAATGGTTTTACATATGGGTTGTGGAAAGACGTTGTGGAAGCTAATAATCAGGATGAGTACAATAAAGCTGTTGCCGTAATAAACCGTCGTTGGCACAGTCTTTTCCGAGAGTTCTTACTTATATCCAGAAGACATGGCTAGTGGTTGACTACAAATTCGTCAAGGCATGGACGAATGCTGTGTTTCATGTGGGCAACACTACTACAGGTAAGGTGGAGAGCGCACACAAGCAGTTAAAAACCTGGCTGAAAACATCCGCGGCGTCGCTGGATACACTTTGGGCTAAGGTGCACTTGGAAATCCAGAGTCAGCTAACCGAAATACGGTAAGTTCTATCCATTATATTAGAAGTTATATTTATTATAATATATTTAGTATTTATTTTGTTTTTATGGCATTTTGCGTAGAATGTTTTACAGTAAGTGGCTACATTCAGGTACAAACTGGAGTACTCAAGACAGAAAATTGGCACCCATTATTGCAGTTTTCCACTGAACCGCTTGAAGTGTCAAGTTTCACATACTTGTTTGCAAAAGCTGAACACTGAGTGGTCGAAGGCGCAAGAGTGGAAAGAAGAAACGAATGACCAATGCGATCATGTGGTGTACTGGACTTGTCGAATTCCATGTGCGTGCGCCCTCAAAAAGGCTGCAGATGCCGGCACATCGATAACTCTTAAGCATATTCACCCATTCTGGGCGACCCTTAATATCGGTGAACAGGCTGGTACAAGTACTCCTAGCGATGTGGATGACGAGGTTCTTTATACCAGACAGTTGATGGAAGAGCTGAACGAGTGTCCTAAGGCAGTACGACGTACTGTAAATAGGGTTCTCCACGATATTATGCATCCAGACTAGTGTGGGTTCAAACAACCCGAGGAGGTCAAGAGAAGGAAGGGGCGGCCTAAGGGGGCTAAATCAAAGAAAAAAGCAGAGGCCAACACTCTTGCCCATGAACAATCCCCACAGAAAAAAGCAACTCCTAATGTGTGGGATTACAGAGACGACGCGCAAGGAAAGTCGACCACAGTTACTAGCGATTCAAGTAAGAAGCGTCCGTCGTCTTCAGGTGGTCGTACAGATGCATCCACAGGTACATGTTAAGAAGTAATTGTTCATAATGTTCTTTATTTATTATCAATTTTTACAAATAACATTGTTTCCGTGTAATGTACAGAGATCTTTGCGAGTGATATTTCACAGTATGGTTGCTACGACCTCATTCCATGGCCCATTCGGCCATATATTACCAGTTACCTTGATGTTGGTGCCGATGGCAATTGTGGATTTCGCGTAGTCGCGAGTAACATGTTTTTGAGCCAGGACAAGTGGGCGATGGCGAGAGAGGCAATGGCGAACGAGCTAGAACAGAATTGGCATCTGTACACTAGAATCTACGGGTATAAATACTTTTCATTTTCTATGTTATGATGTTTGCTGAACTTGGCAGTATTTTGCACAAATAAATGTATATGTAAATGCAGGACGTCCTTACAGGAAGAAGTCCGTCGTATACTATGGAGTGGACAGGGTTTCGCACCTGAGCGCCATTGGATGTGTGTGACGGACTTGTTCGTAGTTGCAACTATGAACAATGCAATTGTGTACTATTACGGTGCAGGGGAAGAGAACCAGTCGCTAAACTCTACATGTTGGACTATACTACCTGTCACTGCACGCGGTGAGGCAACATGTCCGGCATTTGAGATTGGGGTATGTCACCATGGTCTTTACAAGCACTTCATTCGGATCAATTTGGACGGTGACTTTCCAGTTCCACCAATCAGTAATAGGTGGACTAAGGAACATCAGCCTAGCGTTGCTGGTTGGGAATTACCACTTCTTCCTAGAATTCAAGATTGGTATAGGTTGGTCCCCAACAATCCTGGACGTTCTATCGGGGATTATGCTAATGATTTCATTGATCTTAGTTTCTTAGATTAGATTCATGTTTGTTTGTTTGTTAGGAACTAGATATTGGTATTATCTAGTATCTAATTTGTTTGTTTTTATGATTTGTGCAATATAACACACAATTCCATCATACCATCAAAAAAAAAAAAACTAAATGCAGTCCAAGAAAGAGAAAAACAAACAAATCCAGTCCAAAAATACAACAATGTCAATGATCATGGGGCCTTATAATAACGGATCATCGTATCCTGCAGCTTCTCGTCATATTCGTCAGCCAGGTCGCGATCGGACACTTTCACCTTTCTAATCAGGTCCCTCGTCAGCTTTCTCAATTCATTCATCCACTGAAAACACAAAAACCAAAAAAGGTTAAACTATTTATAATATAGAAATGTATGTCTACAAAAACTCAAAAATTAAAAATACAACTTACATAATCCTGACTGCTCCTAGCTGGTGTAGAGACTGCAGATGGGTCAGTTGTCGGCAGCATAAATGGATGTGAATACTGCCTGTACTATGCAAGGTACCCATCCTCACACTCTCCTACGATGTCATCGATATTGGGTCGCCATCTGGTCAAATTAAGACACACTGACTCGGGAATCTCCTCCAAGTACTGAGTGTGTCAACAACAGAATGCTGTACAAAAGTACTGGGTAGTCTTGGGTCCTCGGAATGCATCATCAGGGGACATGGGCGAACGAGGAATGCTCTGTACGTAGCCAATCTGACGTATACATCTGTCCGGCATGTATGGCTCCTGCATGTTCCTATACATTATCCACCCACTATAGATAGTCCTAGGAACTATTCCTTGTTGGCCAGGTCCAAATGGCTCCCACTTAACCTACAAAATAATATTTAGATTATTTATAAATATAATTTTCAAAAAATAAAATGAAATACAGTCAAATGAAGCAATCAAGTACCTCTAACTCAGTGAAACACTCGAGACGCTCCCTAACCTGACAAAGACGATCTGGCACAGATGTCGGTCCCGCAAAGGATGGTGGTATCCAGTCATGTACTCTGGGCCTGTCATTACCCCCACGGGTAACTCACCCTCCCTGGGGGCAGAAAATCGGGAAATACTCGTATATCCAGGCCTGCAGTAGGGTCAAATAACCACCTAACTGAGTGCACTTTGCCCTACTAGCCATCCCTAACTGACGGTATAGGAACGCAAGCGTTGCAGAGCCCCACGAGTATGAACCCATATCCTCGATCCCAGCCATCAGCTCATGTACAAGTGCAACACTGCACCTCCCACCACTCTTGCCCATGAACAACGTCGAGGCCAACAATACCCACAAGAAAGTAGAGGCCTGGTATTCTCGTCCGCTTTCTCGCATCACTCAAGGATGAACCAATCAGAGACACCGCCATGACTCCATTTGTAACCATTCATATCCAGGCCAAGTATCCCTGCTGCATGTCTCCTCAACAAATCTGTGTCAGACGTACCTGACACCAACTCTCCATCGACCTCAATGCCCAAAATATGATAAACATCATGCATCATGATGGTCATCTCCCCAAACGGGAAATGAAATGAGTTGGTGTCCGGCTGCCACCTCTCAAAAAATGCCTGAACTAAGCCAAGATCAATATCTTCATATGAGGTATGAAGAAGGTGACCCAATCCAGTCCCCCGAATCTTGCCTCTCACTACATCATCCATATCTTTATACCACATCTTCAACTTATTCAGAATCATTTCGCCTTTAAAAATCTTCAATGTGGGTCTATTGTATCCATGCCAGAAATGATAAGCAATATGCCCAAGGAAGCTAGGAATCACGCTACCATCTATCGGCCCACCAGGTACTTCATCTGTCACTAGCCATGTAGTCGGATCAATTTCATCAGAAAATCTCGACTGGCTGCTGCCGCCTGTACCATGAATGAGTAAGCCAAATATTATTTATTACATTTTATACACATACAACAATTCAATAAATATAAGTAAAAATAATTAATTAAAAATAATTACAGAATATTAAATAATTACAACAATTAAATATAGATATTTGGTACCTGATGATGCAGTAGTGGTAACTGGATGTGTAGATACTCCAGTGGATCCGGGACCTCGGCTAGGGCCCACGGGATCAATGAGAGGGGGAGGACGTGTAGATACTCGAGCAGAGACGGGACCTCCGCGCGGGGGCACGGGATCAATGTAGGGGGCAGATGCCTGAGCGGGGCGGGGGGGACGAGGCTGACTACCGGTGGATATACCCTGTGGGAATTCACTCGGATGCGGGAAAGAGGGACTATGATATGGACTGCGCCACTCACCACTCATAGGAGAAGGGATAGGGGTAGGGAGAGAGGGTAAACCGCGAGGACCAGGCCGGGGACAACTGGAGTACCGAGGAGGAGGGTAACTACTAAGATTGTACATAAGCGTATCTCTGTGATGTGCACCCATCCTAACACTGTCCTGCACATCATCCTCATCAAACTCATCCTCCTCATCCTCATCCCCCTCTTCCAGGTCGTCCTCAGAATACTCGAGTACATGAATCGGCTAACTAGACCGAGTCTGAAGCGGTACACCCCCCATAGTGACCTGAGTCATTCTCATTCGCTTCTTTTTCTCTTTTTCTTCTTTTTTCTTCCGACGACTCATGGTCAGATAACGCGCACGAACCTTACGCTTACTACTATCTTCAGTATCACTAGTATCACTATCATCATCATCATCATCACAATCCTATAAACAAAATTTTATTCATCGTCATTATATTTTCATAGTCTAAACAAATAATTATACACATATCCTAAATCCTAAACGGTTTAATAATTTAGTTTAAATTAATGAGTAAATCAATTAAACTAATTAGGTAGTGAACTAATCTATTATTAATTAAATTAGTTTTAAAATTCAACTAATTTACATACTATTTAAATTAATTTAATCAATTCAAATGATTAACTTTACTGATCTACTAATAATTAAATTCAAAATATAACCTAAATACTTTAATACTATTTAAATTAATGAGTAAATCAATCAAACTAATTAATGAACTAATCTATTATTAAATCAATCAAACTAATTAATGAACTAATTTATTATTAATCAAATTAAATTATTACATAATTAAATTAAATAACCAATCTAAATCACAAACTATTAATTAATAAAAAAACTACTTACTAACCCTAATTACATTAAATCAAACATAATTAAACACTAACATTGTAATTAAACAAATTAAAAAAAAATTAAAATTCTGCTGGCCGCCGGACGGCGCCGGAAGCCGGCCGGCGGCGCGACCGGGACGCGCAAGAAACGCGTCGGTTCAACCCAAACGAGCAACCGCCCGTTCGGGTTGAACCGACGCGCTTCTCGCGTGTCCCGGCCGCGCGCCGACGCGCTCCGCCGGACGGCAATGAAGCCGTCCGCGGCGCGACCGGATGCACAAGCAACGCATCCCGGTTCAACCCGGAACGGGTCGCGCCGCCGGACGGCTTCATTGCCCGTCCGGTGGCCGGAAAGTTTTTTTTTTTTTTCTTCAATTCACAAATTTTTTTTTTTAAAAAAAATGTACCCGTGATGAGATCGGCTCTTTCCCGCTTTGATTATTCCATGTTGCCATCAATTTTGGATCAAATTAGACTTCAAAATGGGGTTTAGAAGGGTGGTGGCTTCAAGTTTTCTCTCTTTTTTCCTTTGGTGGAAGTTTGAAATGTGAGGGGCAAAATAGTCCAAAAATATTTATGGTGGCTTCAAGTAGTAAAGATAGTGGCTTAAAAAATTAACACCCTTTATATATATGTCAAACTTTCATAGTTGGGCTTGCTTTCTTTCTTTCTCTTTTTCCACAGTAAATAAATATTACACATTATTTTCACCCTAGAACACGAAAAAAATAGGTGTAGAATTAATATAATCTTTTTGTCTAACAAATTCAAATAATTTTAACATGAGCATTTTGCTATTTTTATTGAAAAATGATACACCTTGTTCCAATTGTATAATCAATTTTTAAAAATATTTTGTTGAGTATAACTATCACTACGGCCTGCCGATAAGTATTACTCTTTCACTCTTTCTATTTGTTTTCTTGATAAGGTACAAATTAATTAGGAGAGGGGTAGTGCTATATAAAATTTATTTAGAATTAAATATTGTAATGAAATTGTATGTGTTATTAAATTTAATTTTTGCAACAAAAAAACATTTTATTTTTAGTGGAGTACCTCCAAAGTTTTGGTCCTGGTTCCACCCCTGTTTTTGAGGAAAGAGGGATGAGACTATTGTGAAGGTGTGCTGATATTGATGAGATTTATCAATCCTTTTGAAAGAATTTATTGAGAAAAAAATTAATGATACAGATTACAGACTATAGACGGGAAGGGATATTTTCTGTTGTAAAAAGGGAAGGAAACTTTTTTTTATATATCTACCTATATTATAAGAACATGGTTGGTTGGAGTGAGAGGGTTTTGGTGGAGTGGTTAGGGGATTAGGATGGGAAATTGTTATTATTAAGAGGTCGAGGGTTTGATTTTTGCTGGACCATCTAATTTTAAAAAAATAAAAAAATAAAAACATGATTAGTTTACTGTAGCAATTTTACAAAATGCCACATCAGCACTAAATAGTTCTAGAAGAAAGCTATTCACGAATATTAAAAAAAATAAAAGGAAAAGAAAACACTTTAAAGTTTGAATTACCGTTTCAGTATTTTGTATTGTCCAGAAAATTGGATTTCACGTGTAGAAAACTATTTCACAATATTCAAAGTAGTACATTACTTTTAATTAATTAACACTCTCTTTTTAAATAGATCACTAATTTATATAAAGTTGTATATTTGTTATGAAGCACATTTATTTGTGTTTTTCTTTTCCATTTTTATTACTCTATCTATCTAGTTACATTAAACTACATTGTTATTATTATCTTATCTAAGTGAAGATATGGGGAAATAAAAATATGAGGTAGTAAATTAGACATAACTTGTTATGGTTTTGGTAAAGCCTATAAATAAAGGCTGAAATGGAATGAAAAAGGCACACCCAAAAGTCTCACGACCAGCCCTCTATTCTCCATTTGTCTTGCTTTGTAATTTCTTTTAAATACGTTATTAGCACGAACGAACTCTAGCCAAATTTTTGAGTCCTTTCTTTAGAAAAAAAAATGACGTTTCAATTGTCAAAGACAAAGAAATATGTCTGACAGATAGTGCAACAACATACTCCGCACTAAAGGAAAATAAATATATTTCATATATTATAATAAAAAAACTCATGTTAGTGCAAAATCTGGTAGTACAAAATTAATTGAATGCTCCAGAAGAGCATATTTAATTCTCCCAAAAGGGATGAAATTTGAATTGATGATGTATTATACTCTTCAAAATCTCAAGGAAAGTTGTTGAGTTTTAAAGATATTTGCAGAAATGGATATCATGTTAAAACAAATTGTAAAGATAATATTAGATATTTATACATTACAGATATAATTTCCGGAAGAAAGAATCATTTTAGAGAAATTACCTTCATATTCTCATGGGCTATACTATACAAATATTACACATGTTGAAACTCAGTGAACCCAAAGTTTACTAGTTATGGTGATTTTGTTATTTAGCATAACTGGTAAGACCATCCTAGTTATATTATGATGTGAAAATATTAGAGAATTCTTATAGTCATTATTTAAAGAGCCAGAAAATTCTTCAATCAAATAAATTCTCATGTACTGCTTATTCTCAAGGCAAGTTAATTGTGAGACCATCACCAGTGAAAATTTGATCTGAATCTCTAGTATTTTTAGAACGCATTTATGGAGATATTTGTGGGTCTATTCACCCACCTTGTGGGCCATTTTGATATTTTATAATTTTAATTGACACATCCACGAGTTGGTCACATGTGTGCTTATTATCAACTCGTAATTTGACATTTGCAATATTATTAGTCCAGCTAATTCGGTTAAGAGAGCATTTTCATGATAATCCTATCAAGACGATTCTTCTTGATAATGCTGTGAATTCGTGTCCCAATCGTTTAATAACTATTTTATGTCCATTGGGATTAATGTTGAACATCCTGTAATTTATGTTCACACACAAAATGACACGCCAGAATCTTTTAACAAACGTATTCAATTAATTGGAAGGCCATTACTTATAAGAACGAAGTTGGCAATATTAGCTTGGGGTCATGTAGTATTGCATGTGCCTGCATTAATTCGCTTAAGGCCAACAAATTACCAAGAATGTTCCCCCAACAAATTGTTTCTGGTCAGGAGCCAAATATTTTCCATCATAGAATTTTTTGATGTGCAGTCTATGTTCCAATTGCTCCACCACAATGCACAAAGATAGGATCTCAAAGGAGGTTGAGAATATATGTTGGGTATGAGTCTCTATCTATTAGAAAATATCTTGAGCCTGGAACTGAAAATGTATATACTGCTCGTTTCGCTAATTGTCATTTTAATGAGTCAATCTTTCCGACATTAGGGGAGAAGTTAAACAGTCGGATAAGAAAATAAGTTAGAGCAAATCAACATTATCTCATCTCGATCCTCGTACATGCCAATGTGAACTCGAAGTTCAAAAGATAACTCATTCGCAACGTTTAGCAAATCAATTACCAGATACTTTTACTGACCTAAAACGTGTGATTAAGTCACATGTACCGGCTGTTAATGCTCCAATTAGAATTGATGTCCCTGAAGGACCACTAATAATGACTTCAAGGCACATCTTAACCGTGGTAGACTAATTGGTACTAAAGATAAAAATCTTCATAAATGAAATGGAGTAAATAATGAAGGTGGCAAAATCAAAGTAACTAAAATTCTCAAAGGATCCTCAAGAATAAAAACTCTGAAGAGTCAAAAGACACAATTGATAACAAACTTCCTGAAGAAGTTCATGTACCTGAAAATGTTCATAATGATGAAATATCAATTAATTATGTTATTACTGGAGAAAAATGGAACCGACGTGTAACATAAGTTGATGATAAGTTTGCATATACTGTAGTAATTAACATTATGAATGAAAATGAAGATCATGAACCAAGGTCTGTAGATGAATGCATACGTAGAAATTACTAGCCAAAAATAGAAAGATGCAATTCAAGTTGAATCAGATTCACTAAAGAAACGCAAAGTTTTTGGACCACTAATACGCACACCCGGAGATTTGTAACCCGTAGGTTTTAAGTGGATATTTGTGCGAAAAAGACATGATGTGATACAAGGCACGACTTGTCACCCAAGGTTTTTTTCAAAGACGGGGTATTGACTATGACGAGACATATTCTCCCACAGTGGATGCAACAACTTTTAGATTTTATTAAATATGGCAGCACTTGAACAACTTGAAATGCGTGATATAGATGTTATGACAAACTATTTATATGGCTCACTAGATAATGATATCTACATGACGATCCCTGAAGGATTTCAATTACCTAAGGAACAAAATCTCAGTTCTCGAGAACTTTATTCAATTACATTGTGTAAATCTTTGTACGGATTAAAACAAGAATGACGAATGAGATATAATCGCCTTGGCAAATCAATAGTATTATACTAAGAGTGATACCAGAGAGCGAAACAAAAAAAGATTTCTAAGGGTCCCATATAGGATAAAATCCTATGTGTTATTTTTTTAACAAATGACATAAACAAAAGTTTATGCAATTACACTATAAGTCCTTGGGATTTTATGTAAATAAATTTTATCACATCTTATTTAAATCATTAGTTGATAATCGAAAGATTGGAAGAGTTAATGTACGGTCATAAATCAGCGTTCAATCTTAAACCTAATCAATTAATGCAATAAAATCCATTACCCCAGCAAATTCGAATATAATTTGATTAAAAATCAAACAATTCAAAAAAAAATAAAATAATGGATCAATCAATCAACATTAATGCCATATAAATTCAAAAAAAAAAAAAATTAATACTGATATGAACCTTTTCACCAATCAAAATTAATACATTCTTTTTTTATCCGGTCAACTCAGAATTATGGTATGTATTCATTATAGTTAATGTTGATTTTTTTTAATTAGTGTTGATTTGATCACTACTAGGGTAAGAATTATGGTTAATGGGGAAAGCTGAAAATTTAACATTAATCAAATTTAATACTGAATTTAGTTTTTTATCAGAAAGTTGAATAAAATTTGAAATAATTTATTATCTTAATGAGCATTAAATGTGTTAATATTTTACATAATTTTTATTTTGATTATGACATCCTACTATTTTTGGTATATAAAAAATTGTGCAATTAGTATTTAAACTCTATCTTCAAATTTAAACATCATTTAATAACAAAACTAGAGTCACTTAACTAGATATAGAAAATAATAAACAAAATTAATGATAAAATTCGAATTTGAATTTTAAGTGACAAAGTGTATATCATAATCAATTACCGGATTTACTGTCTATTATTATTAATTTCTCATTCAATTATAACAAAAAACTTGGGGATGATAAACTTTCAAAGCCATATATACCTAAATCAAAACGTGCCATCGTGAAGGTAAAATTTTAATCTCTCTCTCTCTCTCTCTCTCTCTCTCTATATATATATATATATATATATATTATATTATTATTGTTCCCTCTATGTTGACTTGAGATAATAGTGAAATTTCAGGCCATAGCAACTGCATTTGAAGAGGCAAAAAAGAAGATGTAAAACTTATCATGAACTTAATTTAATTATTTATTTTTTAAAAAAGGGCAAATGTTCTCGGAGAGGCTGTTGACATAGTACTATACAAACTCTTTTTTTTTTTTTAAACATGTTTTGCAAGTCACAACAATGAGTTTCTCTAAAAGTATGATGGATGATGTCAATATCATTTTATCATCTCTAAGTTATTTGAATAAATTGTTATTGGATAAAACTGAGATATTTTTAATTTGATTATGTGATACCATTTATTATTAATATTGGTAAATTTTTTTCGGTACAATTTGTGAATACCTCCATTTATGACATGTAATTATGACGACAAACTTACATAATGTTTAGTCACAAAATTAGTTAATTATTTTTCATGTATCATATTTTACTTGTTCAAAATTTTAATAATTAATATTTCACAAGATTTATACATATATGATGAATATTTTTATATTTCATAAAAAAACTCATAAAAATATTGTAACATACCTGCACATCGTGCGGGTTTAACATCTAGTATTTGTTAAAGGAAGGTTATAAAAACGATCTCATTTGTCCTTGTTCCTATTCTTACACTTGAATAGAAATCTAAGTCCCTAAGAAATTAGGGGAAAATATTCAGTCCAGGTGAGATCCTGACCGTCCAAAGACCTCCATCCGACGGTCTATATTAATTTGACGGACGTCATGACATCAACAACTTAGGAGGACAAATTTGTAAATAAATAAATAATTTATGTTTTCCTATCCTATTTTAAACTGGCAGGCTACTAAACGCCCTAAAAATTTCCCTTCAACGCCCTAAATAAATACTAAATGACCATTTTGCCCTTTACATGAATTTATAAATAAAGAGTTTCAATTTCATTCTTTCAATTCCTAAATCAATCTTTCATTTCAAATTCTCTCAATCCAAACACCTAAAAATCTTAAATTTAATGGTGGATCGAATTAAACGGCTACGAAAAGAGCTACGCAAACTAAAGGTACGTAAATTTGAATTTGAATTGTGTTAAAGTATATTTTGAAAAAAAAAAAAAAACTCCACTGCCCCGGCGCGGTTCTCCCTCGCCGGCCTGGGCAGTGGTGGCGCCGGTTTCTTCGCCACCGGAAGATGGGGTGGCAAAGAAAATTCTCGCCAGGCCGGTTGAGCCTGGCGAGAAAAACCGGCGCTGGCCGGTTTTTTTTTTTTAATTAATTTATATTTATATTTATATTTAATTATTTAATTGTTATTTAATTGTTACTATTAGTAAATGTTTGTCTTATGAAATTTAGTTTAATTATTTGTTATTAGTGAAATTAATTAGTTATTTTTATTAGTTTAATTTATTTAGGAATTCAATTGTAGTTTTAATTTAGTATAGGTTTAATCTTCAGTAAATAGAATAGTTATAATACTTTTGTAGTTTTAGGAATTAAATTGTATTTTTAGGGAGTTTAACGGTTTGTAAATTAAATTGGATTATTATGAAAGTTATTATAATTAATATAATTATAGAAAATATATTTATTGGATTAGTCGGTTTAATTGTAATTAGGCTAAAAAATTAAATATTTAGTATAGGAAAATTAAATAAATAAGTTATAATTAAAAAAATACAGGAGGTTAGTAGATAATTAGGGTTAATAAGAAATATTTATGTAGTTGTGGTTAAAATTAAATAATAAATGATAAATTTATTAGTTTTTTGGTTAAAAAAAGAAAAAATAAATATGTAGATATTATTAATTGGACTTAGTAGATTTAATAGATTGCACACTTTAGATGTAGAGTACATAATATTATAATTACATATTTGAATAATATAAAACTATATTAAACTAATTAATCTAAGTTACGTGTAAAATTTGAAACTGTTGTAGGATGGGATATCGCCTCTTCAGGGATCTGGACATCGGCATGCAGTTACGCGCAATCTGTATGCCGAACATCGAGCAGAAAAAGAAAAAAAGTTAAAGAAAGTGAAAAATGTACATCCTACGTTTGGCCCAGTTGGTGAGTCAGCCAACGTAGACGATGATGATGATGATTTTGAGGGAGAGGATTCAGCAGAGGATAGTTTTGAGAGTGGGAGGGACGATGTGGCTGAGGAGGATGACACATCCTCGTTTTCCTCGCATGAGAGGAGGGATATACGGATTGGAGATACCTCAGTACTGAACCCCATTGGTTGTACTGTTGATCAGACTCTAGTACACCCTACCCGGGGGGGGAAGACCCTTGTTTGATTATCGGCCCTGAATTCAGCTTACACTCCTGGTGGTTCCAGTGTTCGTCCCGGTCTACAGAGTACTCTTTATAGAGGTCAGAGTACTACTCTTCAGCATGCATCGTCATCAGGTACGTATTTCTAATAATTTAAGCATTCATTACTATTTGGTCAATTTCTTAATTGCATTCGATAAAGTATTTATACACTATTCGTTATTCGGGTTTCAGGTACTAGCAGACGGTCTAAGGTTTCTACCGAAGAAATTGATGATTGGGTTGTGACAGACGACGTACCTGGCGGGCCATGTGATGGGTCAGTGATTCCTAGTTTTCTTGGACACACTGCTTATCAGTTGTGGAATGGAGAACCACGAGATTACCTTACCATTAAGCCGGCGAAGAGTTTGTCTAGATTGCATGGATGGTATGCGAGGCTGTCGGAGAACGCACAGTTGCAGATTCAGCAGACCGGTTTGTATCATCTCATTGATACCATGTATGATGACATTGACCTTGCGCTTGTTTCTGCCTTCATAGAGAGGTGGCAGCCCGACACAAACTCTTTCCACTTGCCGTTTGGGGAGATGACCATTATGATGCATGATGTGGCACACATTTTGGCGATTCCCCTTGATGGTGACTTGTTGATCCAACCTGCGGAAGGTGAGATTTTGAAGATGCAGGTCGCGGGATTGCTTGGGATGTCGTTGGCTGAGTTAAAGCGTGCATGGAGCCACGGAGGTGTGAGCGACATATTGATTGAGGAGTGTTGTCGTAGGGTCCTCCCCGCTGTTCAGGTGCAAGCTTGGGTGTGGATCTTGTTAGCCTCGACACTCTTCCTTGACAGGAGGGGGGGCAGGATCAGTGCTTCGCTTATGACTGAGCTGCACAGAGGTATTGGCAATATTGGAGAGTACTCCTGGGGATCCGGTACACTAGCATTCCTCTACCGTCAGCTTGGTATTGCTAGTCGAGCGGGGTGTACCACGATGGCTGGTTGTATGACCCTTCTCCAGGCATGGATATATGAGTATTTTCCATGCTTCCAGCCCTCCAAGAGGCGAGGACGTCGAGGTGTTGTTGGTTGGCCCAGAGCCCGAGACTGGACCCCTGTTAGCTATGTCACGGACAGTTTTTCTTCACCATGAATTCGGGTGGTTTGATGCGAAACGGGCTATTTTCGTAGACGGACATGGGACGGAACGGTCTAGAGCCTTGTGGAATTCTCCGGTCAAATCTTGAAGACTCTGGAATTTTCTAGAGAGGCCCGGAACTCTCTAGAAACGAGTGGAACCGTATGGAAGCTACCCGAGTTTGCTAGAACCGTGTGGAAGATTCTAGAGACTTGTAGATATTTTGAACTTAGAATATTTTATTGTAAGAATTCTCTAGAATCTCATTATTTTATTATGTACATAGAATTCTCTAGAATTCTTTAGGACTTGGGGGTTTGCCTATAAATACCCCATGCCCCCCTTCATTTGTAATCATCCAAGCTTTGAGTAGAGTTCTCAAGCATTCCTTAAGCTCTCTTGTGCCTTCATCATTCTTTCACTTTCGACCTTTCTTAAGTTTTTCTTTGCCTCCGTTCTTTAAAGTCTTGTCTAGCTTTGCACGCTTTGGGGGTCTTAAGGCTGAGCTAGCACTTGATCGTTAGTTGTTTTGTGCTAGTGCCGCACGGCCGTTACTTTGAAAAAGTAAGCCCGTGACAGTTGGTATCAGAGCCTCGGCTCGATACTTGGTGTGCTACATCATCTACGCTTCCGTTTGTCGGTTTTCTTTCGTGCATAAGCTATGTCCAACCCTTCGGAGGTCGTTCAAGGGTCGGAGCTTGAGGGGGATCACGTTTCCCGCGAGGTGGGGAGGACCACCCGCAAAGGAAGCCGCAAGGAGAAGTCGGTCGTTAGGGAGCCGATGGTGGAATTTGAGAAACGACTTGCCAAGCTAGAGCTTGCTGTGGCAGACCACCAAGACCGTTGGGACGAGCACCCTGAGGTGGTAGCAGGGGTCGTCGAAGCTCGCATGGAGCGATTCGCAGGGGAATTGCAAGAGGTCATGCAGCAAATGAAGGACGACATGCTAGGGACGCTCAACGAAATGGTGGAACGTTGCAACAAGTCGAAGGAGGAAAGCCTTGCTCGTGTTGCCGCCCTCCAAGACGACGTCAACCGGCTTATGGGGGAGCTGGAGACTTCTCGGGCAGAATCGCGGCGTCTTAAGGCACGGCTTGACGCCGTGGCCGTGCAAGGGACAACCGGAGCCGTGGGGACGGTTCCAAGGCTTCAGGCGCCCAAGCCGGACGAATATAAGGGCAGCCGTCGCTTGAGGGACGTAGAGAACTTTCTCTACAACATGGAACGGTACTTTGGGGCTATGAATATCATGGACGACTCGGTAAGACTCTTCCAAGCCTCTCTTTATCTTAAAGATAGTGCTTTATCATGGTGGAAACGTATGATGAAACCCGTGGGGGATGGAGACCCGGTCTTTACCACGTGGGATGGTTTTAAGGAAGAGTTTAGAAAGTATTTCCTACCAGTGGATGCGGAAGACGAAGCCCGGGCCAAGCTTCGTCGTCTGCACCATAGGGAAGGCCAAATTCGGGAATACGTTAAGGAATTTTCGGACTTGATGCTTGAAATTCCGGATCTCTCGCCCAAGGAGGCGTTCTTTACTTTCATGGACGGTCTCAACCGTTGGGCCAAACTTGAGCTACAACGGAGAGAAGTCCAGGACATCGATCGGGCGTTAAAGGTGGCCGAGTCGCTTGTTGAGTTCCAAAAGAAGGATAGCTCCAAGGACAAGGGCAAGAAGCCGTTCCAAGGCAAAGGTGGGGGAGACAAAGGGAAGTCTTCCACACCCGCGAAACCGGCAGCCGACTCTACAAAGCCGTCTTCGAGCAAGGAGACCAAGGGGGACAAGCCAAAGAAGTTTCAAGGGTGCTTCTTGTGCGGGGGAGCGCACATGGCACGTGATTGCCCGTCTCGTTCGAAGTTGGCAGCATTGGCACAAGGTTTGTGCCAAGAAGAGGAGAAACGGGTCGCTTGCATGAAACGGCTAGACGCCGTGCATGCCAAAGCCGAGACACGTCAAGGCCGTCTTTACATGGAGGCATCGTTCGCAAACGGGTCTAGATGGGGCATGCTAGACACGGGGGCCGACACGAGTTATCTCACGGAAGAGGTAGCCAGTTCGCTTGGCGTCAAGTGGACACCTAGCAAAGGCCGTTTCAAGGGTGTGAACGGCGAATGGACGGGTCTTGTAGGCGAAGCCGTGGATGTGCCTCTTAAAATCGGCAATCGGTCGTACGGCCAATTTCTCCATCGCACCTATGGATGATTATGGTCTTGTGTTTGGCATGGAGTTTTTAGACCAGGTAAAGCCGATCATCGTGCCTAGCAACGACACGATGGTGATCCTCCAAGGCGAGAAGCCTTGTGTGGTAAAGTTTAGACGGAAAATGAGATTAGCCCTTCCCACTGAACAAGGGGCTAAAACGGGTGAACACACCTTTGCCGCCATGGTGTTTGAGGAGGAACCATGCACAGAGGAGCCGGCAAAGGAGGAACGAATCCCGCCTCCCATAGAGCAAGTCCTTGTTGAGTTCAAGGACGTGATGCCCGACGATTTGCCCAAAGGTCTTCCACCAAGGAGGAGGTTGATCATGCCATCGAGTTGGTGGACGGGGCAAAACCGATAGCCAAGGTGCCTTATCGTATGTCCCCTAGCGAGCTAGAGGAGCTCAAGGTGCAAATCAAGGAGCTACTTGAATCGGGTCATGCAAGGCCGTCTAAAAGTCCGTGGGGTTCGCCGGCCTTGTTCCAACGCAAGAAAGATGGGACGCTACGTTTGTGCATCGACTATCGGGCGTTAAACAAGCTAACCGTGAAGAACAAGTACCCTATCCCACTTATAGCGGACTTGTTCGACCGGCCTGCAACGGCACGGATCTTTTCCAAGCTAGACTTGCGGAAGGGATACTACCAAGTACGCATAGTACCCGGTGATGAACCAAAAACGGCCATGGTGACGAGGTATGGCTCTTATGAGTTTCTTGTTATGCCGTTCGGTATAACTAACGCCCCAGCCACGTTTTGCACTTTGATGCAACGTGTGCTAGCGGATTTCATTGATAAGTTCGTTGTAGTATACTTGGACGACATCGTTATCTATAGTAACACAATGAAGGAGCATGTGGAGCATCTTAGAGCCGTTTTTCAAGTCCTTAGGGAAAACCAGCTCTATGTTAAAAGGGAGAAGTGTTCCTTCGGCCTTGAGGAGGTGTCGTTCTTGGGACACATCATTGGTGGGGGCAAAATCCGCATGGATCCGGCCAAAATCAAAGCTATCGTGGAGTGGGAGGCACCCACGAAGCCAACGGAGCTGAGATCGTTCTTGGGGCTTGTTAATTACTATCGGCGGTTCATTGAAGGACACTCCGCCATAGCCGCTCCATTAACGGATCTCTTGAAAAAGGGGCAAGCTTGGTGTTGGACACCAAAACACCAAACAGCGTTCGAGGCTTTAAAGGACGCCGTCACTCGAGAGCCGATCCTAGCTCTCCCCGATTTTGAGAAACCGTTCGAGGTGTGCACGGACGCCGGACTTCGCCATTGGGGGCGTTCTCATGCAAGATGGTCACCCGATCGCCTTTGAAAGTCGCAAGCTGAACGAGACCGAGAAAAGGTGGCCGACGCACGAGAAGGAGATGTTGGCTATATTTCACTGCCTTAGAGTTTGGGAGCATTACTTGAAGGCCGCCACACCGTTCAAGATCAAGACGGATAATCGGGCAGTGAGCTACCATCAAAGCCAACCTAAGCTTTCAAGCAAGCAAGCGCGTTGGTTGGACTTCTTGGCCGAGTTTAAATACGAGCTTGAGTATAGCCCGGGGAAGACTAACCACGTGGCCGACGCGTTAAGCCGAAAGGCGTGTCTTGCGCCAATCGTTAGCATACCCGAAGGGATGTTGGTTGATCGCATCAAGAAGGGTCTTGAGCACGACCGTCAAGCCCAAAGGTTCATGGAGCTCGTGAAGGAAGGCAAGACAACACGGTTCTGGCTTGAGGATGGGATACTTTATGCCAAGGGGAACCGTTTGTACGTGCCCGCATGGGATGGACTTAGAAGGGAGATTCTAAGGGATTGCCATGATAGCCGTTATGCGGGTCACCCAGGTACGCATCGCACACTTGCCTTAGTCCATGAACGGTTCTATTGGCCTCGCATGCGGGAAGACGTGGAGACGTATGTAAGGACTTGTCTAGTTTGCCAACAAGACAAGACCGAGCAAGACCTCCCGCATGGCTTGTTATCACCCTTGCCTATTCCGGAACGCCCGTGGGACAGCGTTTCGATGGATTTCATCGTGAGCCTGCCCGTTTCCGAGGGTTGCACCAACATACTTGTTGTGGTAGACCGTTTGTCTAAGTATGCGGTCTTCATTCCCGCCCCAAAAGAGTGCACCGCGGAGATAACGGCCAAACTCTTTCTTAGGCATGTGGTGAAGTATTGGGGGCTGCCTACATCGATCATAAGCGACAGGGACTCGAGGTTCACCGGCCGTTTTTGGCAAGAACTCTTTCGTTTGCTTGGGACGGAGCTCAAGATGTCTACATCTTTGCACCCGCAAACAGATGGGCAGACGGAGCGCATCAAGGGCCTCTTGGAAGTGTATCTCAGGCACTATGTGGCAGCCAACCAGAAAGATTGGGTACATTTGCTAGACGTTGCCCAATTTTCCTATAACTTGATGCGGAGTGAGAGCACGGGCAAAAGTCCATTTGAGATTGTCCTTGGTTTCCAACCAACTACGCCTAAGGACATTCTTGGGGGCTATAAGGGCAATAGCCCACCCGCATACAAGTTTGCCAAAGATTGGCAAGAACGGGCCGACGAGGCAAAACTCTACTTGGAGAAGTCGGCCGCACGCATGAAGAAATGGGCGGATAAGAAACGGACCCGTCGCGAGTTTGAAGAAGGCGACCAAGTCTTGGTGAAGCTCTATGAGCATGGACGGAGCCGTGGTCTACACAAGGGTCTCATGCGCAGATACGAGGGTCCTTTCACCGTTCTTAAGAAAGTGGGTTCGGTTGCTTACAAGCTGGAACTACCCGAGGCCTTCTCAAGGCTTCATCCAGTCTTTCAT